GACTCCGCTGGCCCTCCTGGCGCGCAAAATCGAATGTATGGGAGTATACATTTTTAAATACGTGGTGTCCGTGCCGAGGCGCGTGCGCAGCGTGGCAAGGGCATCGCGCATCGCGGGGATCGTGTCACAACTGGGAGTAAACGGGGGTGAGCGCTGCCTGCAAGGGCGAAGAAAGTATAAGTGGTGCACGCACCCGAGCTTCTTCCAGCCCGCTACCCAGCCATCGCGGCCCCACTCGCCCACGCGCGGGCTCTTGAGCTCGTACGCGACTGCAAGCAATACGACGTCTTCGGGATCCACTTCGAGGTCCTCACACAGCCGCAGCGTTCCGTCCACGGTGATCTCTTGCGCCTCCGAATCTGTGCACCAGCACATCAGCCATCCGAGTCATTTGGGACGCGGGGCGGACGGGGCGCACCTTTGTACTTGTCAAAGAGCGAGTTGAGGCGGCTGGTAGAGGGGGCATGTTGTGTACGGGCGGGGGTGGGGGCGGAGGACAAGGAGGAGGGGTCGTCGTAGTAGGCGTCGATGGCGGCGTCGAGGCGTTTGTGTCTTTCGATAAAACGGCGTGCGTCACGTGTGCTAGCAAGATCAGGGTGTGGGTAAAAGAGAACAAGAAAAGAAAAGGACACACGATGCGCCTGTGACGTTGCAGAACTTGACGATGTTCTCCTCTGTTGCTTTCTTATCGCCCATCGTGTGCGTGCTCCTGTGGGTGCCGGTGCTTGATTCTTGCGGCTGTTGGGTATATACTATCCTGGATTTTGCACGCACGGTGTGGTGGAGGAGGTGGCGGAGGAGGAGGAGCGAGGAGAGGAGGAGACCTGCGATCGCAGTGTAGATGATAGCAGACGCGGAAGCAGCCATCCGTGCCGGCCTCGGCGCGTGGCCGGCCCAATCGTAGACGCGCGGCGCTTCAAGTCCGGGATGCGCCGTGCGTGCGGCGTCGATGTCCACCATGGCTCACTACAGACTACCACACTGCTCGACTTGCTCCGGGGGGCACTCCCCTCGTCCAGCCATGCGGCTGCAACGCCCGTTGGCTGATTTACACCCGGGCCATATCTGATTGCCCAATGCTATGTCATGATCATCATGTTATATTATCCCTGCTTCGGGTTATCCTTTCATGATCATAGGTCACTGACAGGCAGATAGGCACATATGCCGGTATTATGTGTATCCATCATATCGATGCGATCACCATGTACAGCCCCGCCCTCGGGCCTCATGCGTCAATCACCAACGGCCCTCCTTCAGCCGTGTCCGCCGAATGAGCACATAATAACACGACACAAGACACAACGTAACCAGCACACCTGACACTGATTACCCGCAAGAGTGACACTTGCAGCACCCACCCGTCGACCGATCATGATCACGCTCCATCCAGATCCCGGCGCTACGCCTCGCATGCATGAATGCATACACGCACGCCGCCCGGCCCTGCGGGGTCGCGACAGGCACCGGGTGAGCTACTCTGATCAGTGAGTCCAGACCCCAGGCTCATGCCCACTACGCCTTGCTTTTTGCCTCCGTCTTCCTGGGCCTTGGGGCTGCGTCTTGGCGGCGCGTGCCCGGCAAACGGGCGGATCTGTTGGAATATTCCCGTGTGGATGCAACGTCCCGGGAGGATCTGTCGAGGTTCCCGTGAAATGCTAGGTAATAATAAATATTATTACATGGGAGGGTGCAGCCTAGTGGGGCTCTAGGCTGATCTGTTCGGACCTGGGTTTGAACCCCTAGTCGGTTTGAACGCGGGGATCATCCAGTATGACAATATGTAGCATCGATATCAGTATCAATAGCAGCATCAGTGTCACCCAAACCACTCCCACTCGCACCAGATCACATTCGCAGCCATTGAATAACCTGTTGCAGATCCCACACCCCGAGTACGCCCCATTGCCAAATCACGCTTCACGAATCACAGATTGGGTCCGAAGCTCATGTTTATTCGCACCGTCACCAATTGAATTGTCGGCGTATCTAGAGGCTTAATTTACCCGCCATGCCCATGCATGCACCCGAGTATCTACGTGTAAACGCCGGTGTCCCCGGATAGACGACGGGCATCCCGCTGATTTGTATCCGTATCCGCGACACGGCCCCACTGGCAGCCATCAATCAGTGGCACCTAAAACGCAATTAGGCATATTAAATAAGGATGTCGCGTCAACAGGACACCTCCTGTCTTACCCTGCCAGTCCTGTCCTGGCTGATCAACTACAGGCAGTTCATATCTCCTCGAATGAAATGACTCGTGTACGTCAGGTCTCTGGCTTCATCACATATATACACACAGCCCGCGATCATGATCACAATCGGATCGCGATGCGATAACGGATCCTGTGCTTATCATGTATCAGTGGTGAGGTAGGTATCAGTGGGGTTCGTGTTCGTTTCCGTCTGTGCATAGCACTCATTGGGTCATTCATGCGTCACGCCGTACGTCTGTCTATGTCCTGTATCCAGGAGATGGAGCAAGCGCCAGGGATGACGCAGCGAGGGCAGATGACCGGACATCGATGGATGATAGCAGACTCCACGGGTGATTTAATTAAGGGTGCTGTAGTAACTTGTGATGGAGTGGTGGTGGTGCGTGATGGGTGGAGGTGGTATTTATAGCTGTGGGAGGGACGATGTCGCCGGCGAACGCTCAAGTGAAGCCAGACGGATGCCAGACGCTGGCGACAGAAGCAGAAGCAGGAGCGCCAGACAGCGGGCGTCAAGCATCACAAACAGACAGCATGACGTCGGGGGTGGTGGACTCAGTGACCGGCTACTCGGTACTCGGTGGCACTAGCAGGATCCCCGCGCATTCCCACAGACGTCGCAGCGCGTGCATGTGCCTCAGGACGAGGGCGGGCGACTCTATATTTCAGGGCGCGGTGGCAATGGCCGGATTCCGCCGGGGCTTGCACATAGACACCGGGGAAGCACCAGCGCGAGAAGATCTAGACTCCCCGATGGCGGGAGCGGCATCGCGGCGGGAGAACGCCGCGTGGCCTCGGGGATTTAAAGATTATGACATGCGCCGACAGGCACGGTGGCCCATCTGGGCGGATTCTGTCAGATTGGTGCGCGTGGGAAGAAAGACAGGGCCGGGCTGTTATGCGGGCCGAATAGGGGTGATCTGAACCCCCGATAGGATCTGCTTCCGAAATCCGGGGAGCCTGATTCTGGTTTGGCGGACCTGTCTTCCTGTTGTTGTGTTGGTTTTTTTTTTTTTTGTGTTGGTGCTTCGACTTCTGTGCACGATCACAGAGTTTGAATTCGAACGCAGCTGGTTCTGCTTTATAAACCCTCGGCTCCTTTCTGCGCAATCGCTCAAAGTCCCCCGGCATGCTGCCACTCGCATCCCACAACCCATCGCCACCCATGAACTCTGCATTCCATCTCCGTCCTGTATCTGATAACTCCCCCTCCCCGTCCCCCACAGCATCCGCCTCTCCACAGCGCCCTCCCGTTCACCTCCCATCCCCGCCCACAAACCCCCGCACTCGTCGCCCACTCTCTCCCAGCTCCCTCCGTGGTCAGTGTCCCTCTCCCTCTCTCCCTCCCCCCCGCTGATCCCCCCGCCCCCCGTAGACGTCGACCTTACCCACGCAGCCGACAGTCCCCCCCGCAAGTATCCCGCACCGCCCACCGGGCACGATCTTATGGCCATGTTCCCCCCGCCCCCCCAGACACCTTCCCCGAGATGCGCGCCGGGCCCACCAGCGGGTACTTCCAGCGGCAGGAGCGCGCCTTCTTCGCCCAGGCCGGCAAGGAAATCGTCCGTGTGCGTGTTGAGGTCGACCTCCCCCAAGCCGGCGCTGGGGCCGAGCAAGATGTCAAGCCGCCGCGACCCCGCGAATCCGGCCGTCCGTGGGCCGGCCCCGGTGGCAGCGGACCAGCCGGAAGCCCGCCCATGCTGTACCCCCATCCACCACAGCATCGGCCAGCACAGCCCCGCGGGCCCGTCCCCGTGACCCCCGCCGCACTGCTTCCCACCCCGCCCCAGGCGCACCCGCACGCACATACACACGCGCACTCGCAGCAGCCGGGGCAGCAGGAGCACGGCTCGCCCAGCGAGGACTCGGCGTACCAGGACGACGATGCATGGCGCCGCCCTATGCCCTACGCGGAGCGCCGCCGTGCGGGCAAGCACACCAAGCGCGTTGTCGTGCGGCCGTAGTCCCGGCCACCTCGACGCTGCTGTTTTCGTCTTTCTTGTGCACGCGTCCATGCGTGTTTACTGCGGTTTGTGTATACCATCTTGCGTAGATCTATTGCATTCCATCCATCACATTGCTCTCCCCTCGCCCCACACCTCCTGCACCGCATTGCCCCCCGCCCGGGCCCGCACTGCACCTGCACCCGCGTCCTGCGCCCTGCCTCGCCCCACTCATGCCAACCGAATTGCCTCTTGTTTTTTGCCGCCCCGCCCCGCCTGCCGCTTGCACCCGTTTTGCCCCTCGCCTTGCTCTGCATCACGCCATACCATACCATGTACACCACGTAGACACGATACATAATCATGACACGTTACATCAGTCTCGGTTTAGTTGATCTCGGGCTTGTGGGACTGTTTAAGCTTGGGTCATTGTACTAGAATCGATGCTAGTGTTGGCTTCGATTGTACATGGACTATAGTCAGAATAGGATGACGCTTGTACTCAAACTCGTACTACAGTTCGCAGAACCCAGATCAACTATCCTGACACATGTAAACGGCCCCAATTTCGAGCCAAGACCTATCACGCAGGGCCGCGACGCAGCCTGAGCAGCGAGCACCCCGGGACTCCAGTCAGGCAGGCAGCCTGGATCCTTCAGCTCCTGCACACGCCAAGCCGCACCAGCATGACAGCTCCTCGTAACCGCACAAAGGAACGCTTGCTCGGGTGGGCGTGTAAGGCTCGCGTGCCTGCTAGGGCAGCGTGAGCTGAGCGGCGCAAGCCCTATGCCGGCCCCCGAGCAGGGAAGGGGGCGGCCGCACCGTCGCAGTGATCGCACGCGCCGGCGTGGCGTAATGATCAGCGCGTCGCTCTCCTAAGGCGAAGACTGAGGGTTCGACTCCCTTCGTCGGTAGTGGGTGGCCTTGTTAGGCTCTTTTTGGGTGAGGTTTGTGCTGGGCGCACCGCGGGGGTGATAGTAATCACAATATTGCCTTTTTTTCGAGTTGCAATCGGGGGCGCCGAAATTATTGTACTAAGAGCGAGAGAAACAGGGGAAGAAGAGAAACAGAACCGATAGTGTCCTTCAAACGATGGTCTGGTTTTTGGTGTCGGGTAGGCTACATAATCCCATTCCTTCTGTATACTCGAAGCGTTGAGTTTATTTGTACGTAAGGAACAAAGAGATATGGGCAAAGACACCGAAGACAAAAACCAGACCCAATGAACAAAAAATGTACCCGCTACCGACGGAGGGAGTCGAACCCTCAACCTTCGCCTGATGTCCTTTCCATAGGAAAGCGACGCGCTAACCATTGCGCCACGACGGCGGTGCTTATCTCTCGCTTTGCCGGATTATCACACGCTTCTGGTGACTCCCGTGGGAACCATGGTTATCAGTGCTGAGTGCACTGCAATTTTCATTTCGTTCCACACTGTCCCCCGGCCAACACGAAAAGAGGCAACAACAACAGGAGCCAGGATGTCGGGCAAGACGATCAGCACGGGCACGCTGAGCCTCAAGTTCATGCAGAACGCACACCGCGCGAAGCACCTGAAGGAGGTCGAGGCGGAGCGCGCGCAGGTGCAAGATGAGGCACAGTGGGAGCTCCCCACCGCGCGGAGTGCCCTCGCCGCAGCTCCCCTGACCGCGTACGCCCCTGTGTATCTATTTGTTGATGTACTGACGCTTGCTGGGGACAGGAACACGGCGACGCACGAGGCGTCGTATTTGCCGTTTCTCTTTGATAGTCAGGCGGAAACGGAGACAACGGTGGCGCACAGACCGAAGGGCCGGCGGGTGTTTGGGAAAAAGGGTACAGAGGTGGACGAGGTGAGCCGCATGTCCTTTTGGTGTGATACTCGGATCTAATTCCGTCCAGCCCGAGCCAGACGCCCCTGCCGCGCCGCCACAGCCCATACCCCCATCCGAAACCGCATCGAGTTCCAAACGCGCGCCGCCCGGGGTCTCGCCGCTCTCCGCACGGGCACCCAAGTCCACGGTGCGCAAGGACCCGCGCACGGCGCGGCAGCTCATCCGGGACACGGGCGGCGTGGGCGCCGACCTCCGTGCACGCCCCGCGCGGGCACAAAAGCAGGTGCAGCAGGGGTTCATGAAACCCGCGGGGGTCGACGAGCCTGGGGCTGCGGGACGGGTGCCGGGGGAGGACGACGTCATTGTGCTTGGCGCGCGTGGGAGGGCGAAGCGCGGGCGAGAGGCTAACGCCGATCAGCAGCAGCAAAAGCAGCAAGATGGAGACGATGCCCCAGGCCCGGGGCGCAAGAGGAAGAAGAGCGGGGCTGCGTAGCAGTAGCGGGTATGGTACATTATTTTCTTTTGGCGTTTGGCAGCTGCCGGCGTCCCTGTGAATCCGCCGCCACTGCAGACAGGCCGGGCATATTCATAGCGCTAGGCTCCGGGGTTCTGCATGCAATATGCGGTTCGCGAAGGGATGTATGTACATACATAGGACTAGTTGACAGTTCCTGTTATGGAAACAATTATAGATCTGCCCTAATCCTATCCTCACTCCACCCCAGACTTGAGTGCATCGGGCATGATGTTCCCGCGGCTGTCCCCCACGGCATAGGGCTCATCAACATCAAGTATCAATCAGGTTGGCGTGTGTCATTCTATCATCATGGCCGATAGTAATGATGCCTTTTGCGGGGGCTGAAAACGCCGCTAGCAGGCGGGCTGCATGCTAGTCGATTGTCGAATGCTTCTGACAAGATCTGTACACTACAGAAGGCCGGTGTGGGGTGGGTGTGGAGCGCCCGTGTGTGAACCATCATGATCGACATCAGCCAGGTGCCCCGGTCTGCTGGCCGCCCCGCCAATGCCTTGTCAGTCGTTTGTCATGGTATTTGTAGTGGTGTCGCTAAATATGGCGTGGTGTACGCAGCGGCTGGTGGGCCCAGCACGGTGGCGCCGCCCGTTGGAGAAGTCCGCGATCGCTGCGGGGAAATGGAAACAACGCGGATTTGGGGTCGCAGGCCCGAACGCCCGCGTTGACGTCAACATGCAGCAGGCGACGTCCGAGTCGGATATAAGCAGGAGATGGTGGGTATTTAAACACTCGGGCCAGACTCCAGCTCAATATCAATCAATGCCCAGCCCAGCCTTGCTGCCCCCCCCTTCGCACCGGCGGTAGCACACGGTGTATCCCTGGATTGCTCGAGGGTGGTGGTGAGTACCCATGCCTGGCCAGTCCCGACTCTGCTATCTGACTCGGGCTGACAGCGGGGTGACATGAATCAGTGATGGACCGGCAAAGATACACATGACAGGTGCGGTTACGTGAAGCGTACATATAGTGCCTCCCCCATGGTTAGTCAGTGGCACTGGCACCAGGTCCAGTGCAGTCACGGCCGAGTGTCATGGCCCTGTTTCAGCTGGGGGACGATGCCAAACACGATCAAGCTGTGATCAGGGTTCCCAAATTCCAACTTGACATTATTGACGACCACAGCTGTGATTCTGAGACATATACGCCCACGCCTGCCAACGACCTCCACGACCGTGTACTTTGTCTTGTTTTCGGATTCTTGTCAGTCTTCCCTGCTACCCATCCCATCCATCCCCTTTGTGTAAAAACAATTCCAACCTATTCTCGGCCGTGACTTGGATGCATCACTTTTGATGGCAGCTCTCCGCCTCCACAATGCTATACACTCCCCAGAGTACACCGACCTTCCGCACGGTGCACAGCCTCCACACATTCGCAATCTCTCCACCCTCTCCAGTACCACCTTGCGCACCAACTCTGACAGCTCGCACCCCACCGAGCCTCTGCTCTCCGACTCTGCAGCCCACCTCAACCTCCTTCCACACCCGCCGGCGCACTCTAGCGATCAACATCCCGCTTGGGACACAGGCAATGCGCCCGCGCCCGACACCGCCTCCCAACGAGCGCGCAATGGCTTCTGGGAGCGCAGCGCGCGGCGGGTGAAAAGGCTGAAATACATGAAAATCGGTCTCGAGGTGCTGATGGGTAAGTCTCCTCGCTGCTTTATGGTTCTCACGCTGATTGGATGAGATAGGGGCGTGGGGGGTGTACACCACCGTGCGCTACTTTCTTGCCTACGCAGCGGATGAGTCGATGACGGCCCAGGCCGCTGCACTCGCACTCGGCACGAGCTCTGCTCTGTCTTTGCGCTCCTCCTCTGTGCTGCCCTGCTGTCGTCGTGCCAGTCGCGCCTGCATGCACAAGAGATCCCCTCCGATATATACTAACCATCTGCACCGCCCTCCACTACATCTCATCTCTGTTCCTCATCGGTCCTACAATCGTCAACCTCGTGCTTCTGTTTCTATGGAAGGATGCCGCAGACACACAGATAAACATCAGGACACGGTGCCACCCTGATGTCGACGTCGTGTGGCCCACAAGTGGGCAGTGCCACTCTGCATGGGGCGTCTGGCTGGCCCTTGTGCTTGCCCGCCTCGTCGTGACGCTCTCCATCACCGTGAGTCTCGAACCCCGACTCCTCTTGAATCCCGCTGAGCAGCCTTATACAGACCCTGTACCACCTTTTGTCCTCCGCGTACCACCACGCCACCACGCAGGGCACACGCCGCCCGCGGCCAGGCCTCCGCACCCGGTCGTCGTTCACCAGCCCTTCGATCACCGCTCCAGCCATGACCGAGATCTCGCCCACGTCGTTCGCGCTCCCTCTTAGTGTGGGCTACTCGTACCCTCAGCCGCAGCACCAGTCATCGTATTCCACCTTGGGCTCGCGGTCTGGCTCCAAGTACTCAACCTCGGAAGAGGTACATGGGGAGGGAGAGGGGTATGCATATGCGGCGCCTGATCTTGCGGCAGGCCCAGGGAGGAGGCATGGAGAAAACGAGCACGAGCTCACGGGCTTTGTCGACCGCTTCCGCACGCTCGTAACACAAATCACACACGAAACTGAAGCAGGTCTCGAGTTTGCCAGACCTGAGCATTCATATCCCTACTCTCCCTCCTCCCACACAGACGACATCGACACAGACGACCCCGACACGTACTACTCCTATGCCTATCCCACGGCGCCGCTCCCACCCACGCTGGGCTACGACGAATTCGGGCGGCCGTATCCGCCAGACGAGCACGTGCATGTGCTAGGTGGCTTCGTGCGGCGCATGCCGACGATCGAGTCGATGGGCTCGCGCGAGATAGGCAGTGTGATGTCAAGCGTGAGGCGCGATAGTATGAGGAGCAGCAGTTATATGCCGAGTCGCGCGTCGACGAGGGCAGGGTGGACGGGGAGCGGGAGCGAGCCACCGAGTAGGAGGAGTAGTGCAGGTGCGGGGGTGGGGGTGGGGATGCGCGCGTCAGAGGTGGGCGAGCTGTTGGATCGGTCATCGATACAGGGACAGGCGCAGCGCGAGAGAGAAAAGGAGGCTTCTGGTGCGCGGAGAGTTGGGAGCACCGGGAGCGTGGGGAGCAATAGTAATGCCCCACGGTCAGGTGTGAGCTACCCCTCAACGACATATAGTTCGGCGTCGTTTTACACCGCCACGAGCGCGACCGCGCAGGGTCCTGCTGGTGTAGACGAGTTTGGGTATGCGGCGGGAGGCCCCGGATGATCGAGGTCGCATGGTTCAGTGGGACTGCGGATTGGATTTAGATTAGATTGGGGTGGAGGATCGGACGGATGGACGGATCTTGTTGTATCTCATGCTCATTTTTCGCGCTCGAGCAGGCGGGTGTACATTACCTTCCATTCACCGCGTACTACTTGTTATCATAGCTTTCAAGTTAGTACATGGAGTGCACTTATCTTGTCATATTCGAGAATTAGTGGGCTCCGACGTTGCTCGGATCGCTTTGTTATCCCGGGCCCGCGAGCTGCTAGTGTGATAGCCCGCTGGTACTGGATGTGGCAGCGTCGATGGCTTCTAACATTGTCCCGTGGGACTCGGAGGCCCATGAGCACCTGTTGCCAGGACGCCCATCTATGTCTAGTATGTAATTAATTTCAAGGGCAATGATTACTGAGAATGTAACCACAGCTAGCAGAAGACATTGAATACACTGGGATAATCTGTCTATCCCGCTCCATCGATATCGCTATCGTTATCGATCCTCGTCAGGGTGGACACTGACTGGCAGCTATTCTCTGGGATAACTAGTCTATCCCGCTCTATCGCTATCGATAGCTCTACACCGCTGTGTCCGGAGTGTAGCGACCGCCGGTCTATTTATAACTATCAACTGCCCTCCGACCCCGGGCCAGTGATTGGGGCTCCTGCGCCAGCCTGGGTCCCAGGCGCATCCCACGGCTCCCTCTGGCTGCTGCCATTGGCTCTGCGGGGGACACCTTCCCACAGCTAGGGGCCAGC